ATGTTTGACCTGAAAACGGGACAACTCAAACCAAAAAAGGCAAAGAAAGAGAAGACACCAGAGCAGGAAGCACTGTCCCAACTCAAACTGCTGCAAAAGAAGTGCCATGTCTAAAGCGTTTTTTCTAGCAACACATGTTTTGTAACAAATGTGTCTCGATATGAACTATACCATTGAATCATGATCGGGAGCATCCCATTACTTTACCAAGGGTCAAGGGCTTCAGCAATGACCTGGTCGGTGTGCTGGAAGACATGGAAACATACAAGGTCCGCAACTGTCAGGAGCTGGTTCCCTGCCTAATCGAGTTTGTTTTACTATTCCAGCTTGGGATCCCTACCATCGATTCCAAAACTGTTTTATCCACCTGTGTCCCTCCTCTTGGATTCTGAGGTTGACTGCCTCAATGGGCATGTTCCTGTTGTGGCCGAGCACATGGCTGACATCACAAAGGCTGTGGAATCGGCCCCTGCCGATCAGAGTGAAGCAGCCAAGATCTATGCTTGGATCCAGACGGAGAAGGATGCCCTTAAGGAAATTGATGCTGACATCAAGGATGCCAAGCGAAGGGTTTCAGCTGCCAAGCCAAAGAAAACGAAACAAGTTGAGCAGTCTGAAGGCTCAGCTTCGGGTAGTGATGTGGAAAGCGAGCCAGAGGCTGCGCCTGTATCTGGGTGATTTGGCTTGGGTAAGGGTGGCCAAACAGTAACTAAACAATTGGGTCAGTTCTGGTGTTCTTCACTTGAACATCTTTGGGGATACCCTGTGGCACAGGAACAATGTTTGATGAAAGGCCCCCCCAAAAGTATATCCTGAGCTGATGTGCAGGTGGACCAGCCGGTAATTCAAGGGTAGCGCACGCAGTTCCGATGACACTAGTCACAATGTTTTCAACCAGCTGCACTGTCACACAGCTGTTAAGGGGACTGCGAAGTCCCCTGCACTCATGTGCCCAAGTTGGAGCTGCTTGCATGATTGCTGCCACTCCAAATTATCTCCGCTGGTGGTGTTGCAATGGGTCAAAGTATAGGGTTTGGTTAACCATCCAGCACCCTGAATTGCTCCCACCATTGCTGGAGAAAGGCCCATGGTTGAATGGCCTTAGATAGTTGCCCATGTATTCCCCACCATCCCTGTTGCCGGCCACCAGCGGCTTATCTCATGCCAAGACTCTGCCTTAAATTTATGGCGCTGAGCTTTGGAACCTGGCGGTTGTGTTGCAGACAAAGTCTGCAGGGTGGTGACACTGCCACTAGTGACACACGCAATGGTCCAAAACTTGTCCTGTTTAAATATAAATCTGACTGTGTGCATACTGTGCTGTGGAATCACGACTTTGAATTGTGAGTTGCAAAGCTGCCATATGTGGAGTTAGTACACATGCATGCACAAACACATCTGTACTGTGAGCCCTAACACACATACAACCATGCTCCAAAGGCGACATCTCAGCAAAGTTCCTTTAAAACTTTTGCCCATGGCATCGCCTTCATCGTCCAAATGGACCTTGTGGAAGACTTTTTGGAACTGACCAGGGACGTGCCTTGACTTTATATATAAGGACATTGCTAATGAAAACAGTGAAGTCATGGGAGTGGACTGTGTGCAGGTGACTGTTACTACTATAGTCTCCCTGTTTCATGCCATTCGGAGAAGGGTACCAGGTCGCTTCTTGCCGTGCCTTGGACCTATATGTGCGCCAGTGCTGTTGTACACTCTGTGTTTGTTGCCCTTCTTCCTCTGTTGTTTGAGAGGCGAAATCTTCGAGATCTCGTGGACTTATGTGAGGGGGATCCGCACAACCATTGCAGAGCTTTTTGGCGATGGATTGAGAGGCAGCCATGGCGCAAACTGCTTCCGGCACCCATTGAGTGTCATGGCCTAAATATGTTAAATGGGCATGTGTTGTGTGCCATGGCAGCCTGCTATGCGCTGTGCATTGCACCACTGCTAGGGTCCCTGTGATCTTGCACGATGTGACTCGCGAGAAGCCAAATTTTCTGGGCATGTGGCATCTAATTTTGCCAAGTGATACGCTTCATGCCAGCACTAGTTTGTTTGCTGAGGCCTCTGTTGATAAATTCTTTTTTGTATTGTTGACCCCTAGGTTTGCAGCTTTGTATGCGTACGATGAGAACATATTTCGTGAGCGATTTCTGGGGCCACCTGGAGTCACTGGCCTGACATGGCATGCACATGTGTATTTTTGGGGGTTGTGTGTTTGAGCCTGCTCGACTGAGGCCATTGAAGAGTTTTGGCAAAGCCATAAAGACAGTGATTGGTTTCGGAATCACCCAGTCCTTCAATCTCCAGATGCTTGGCTTTGGGAAGGTGATGGATGGTGTGCATTTTGCCAAATCCTGTCATGGCAAAATGTGTTGAGATTGTTCTTCCTGTGCAGTGCGTAGGGGCTTATCAGGATGTCAACTTGAACCGCATCATTCCATTGGCTGTGCATGGTGATGACGCAGAAGCACATCGGCGGAGGTCCTTCTCAATCTGCACATTTGGTTCACTATTGGTGAAAGGATCATTTTGGGACACCAAAATCTTGTCGTTTTGCACTGATGTCAGTCAGTGCAGTTCTGAGACAACACATCAGTTGGAGCTGTGGCTGACATGGAGCCTGCTGGAGTTGCAACTGGGTGAGTTCCTAGATGTGGACCCGTGGGGGCAACCCTACCCACCTTTCTTGAAAGGACGGTCTGGTAAGATTTGCGGGGAGTGGAAGGCAGTCCTTGTCGCCCACAAGGGGGATGAGCGCTACATGCAAAAGTCATATCGGCCATTGTCGAGCTGGGTCTCAGATAATGTGTGTCTTGTGTGTGCCGCTTCCCAAACACAAGAAGACCTTCTATATACCCAGTTTGGTCCCAGTGCATTGCACCGTAGCAGCATGACCTCCACGAAGAAGTTCATCCAGGATATCAGCCAGGTACAAACGTTTACAGCTTTGCCTGGATGGCATATCTTTTCCGTGCAGTTTGACCTTCTGCATGTGTGTGACCTTGCTATCATTCCTGAATGCTCTGCAAGTGCGCTGTATCTAAGCTAAAGCTGAAGTGTGAACTTTCTGCTGTTTGGGGAGTGCTCAGTTTCAGTTTTCTCAGAAGCTGTGATCTTAGGATAGAACTTTGTGCAGCTGGTGTCTTTGGTACAGGGGCAAATGACGAGCGTCTTCGAAGAGCCAATGTTCTGTTCACTCGGGCCTGCAAACTAGCTCGGGTTCGTTGCTAGCTTGCAGTGAGAAATAGTTGAACAGAAATGAACAGATCGGGGGTCACATGTGTGCATTCACTTCGCTTTCGCAACAGGCAACCGTGGACAGATGTTTTCGATGAGACTTGACAACATTAGTCTGTAGATTTCGATGTGTTCATTGCATCAAACAAAATCTCCGTCATGTCAGGAAACAACTATTCCCTGCTGGGCCAAACTCTTACCCCACTCTGGTGCAAAAGAATTTTAATGGATCAGTGCCTTCGGCTACTATAGTTGCACAGTGAGATGGCGCTTACATCATGTTTGAGATTGCCTGAGCTGAGGAAGCAGTGGTCATGGCAAAGTGGCTGGAGACCATTTGCTTGAAAGTGGCGGAGGATAATCCTCAAGATGCGCATGCAGGGTGTCTTGGCTGCAAAGTGGTCTGGTGGTGTTGTAGTGCAGTTGGTTTCCTAAGTGTTGATCATGTTTGATCAGGTTGCGGGCTGCGATCTTTGTAAATCTTGTGGCCATGCGGCAATGCATGAGTCCAGCCAACAATCCTGGCCGACATGTTACACTATTGCCAGCGAATGTAGAACGTTTGCGCAGGGCATGTTATCTTTTCAAGGCTGCTCACAACAGCCTCATGTCAGCATTAGCTTGCTAATATGAGCTTTTGATCTAGATTGACAGGTGTCTTTCTTTATTGGCCCAGGTCTTGCTTTAGAGGCGGTGCAGCAGGAAAAATTATTTTGGAAAGTACGTCCAAAATACCACAAGTTGCTGGGACTTTATTTGTTGAGCGTACACCAAGGATATTCCCGTTTAAAAACAACTCAACTGAGGCTAGATCACATCGTTTTTGACCAAAGCCAATACCTGAGCCCAGTTCATGCCTCATGCTACAATGATGAAGACGGGATGGGCAAGATAAAAAATCTTGCCCGAATAACAAATCCGAGAAAACTTGGACTCACAGTGCTATTGCGCTGGACTGCATATGTGTGTGTTCGCTGGGTCAGGATGGCAACAGAGTGAACAAAAGATGTCCAAAGTATACCTTGTGACTCTTAAGCTGTTCAAAGTGCTGTTCAAAGTGTGACCCCAACTCAAAACCGGTCGAAGCCGACTGACCCAACGTCGCTGGTGGCACCTTGTCGACTTGCTCCGCGATGATGCAAAGGTAGCAGAGGCCACCGCTTGATGCAAAGGGAGGTGGGGAAATAGGGTGTTAAATGATTGTACTTCCATGGTTTAGTGTCTTTGGATGGACGCTCATCAATAATCACATGGTTTCATGCACCAGGCCACTCCGACAGGCTGTATATGGTTTATGTAGTGGGGTTTCTCTATGTGTCTTAACAGGCTTCTATTGGAAGCCTGTTGGAAACCCTAAATTTCAAAAACCAAATACAGCCTGTCGGAGTGTCCTGGTACACAGTACGTCAAAACACCACTTCTAGCTATTCTAGCTTTCGAATTACGGCAAAACATAGGGTCAAACAACAACACACACACACCCCAAAATAATGTGGATTTACACACTGCATCGGCCGATGGGAGCCCAAATCCCGGTTCGGCGGATGCTAAACATTGTAGCCAGCAATAACGGCCCTCACTACCGGTCGCCACCCAAAAACCTCATGTGACATCTGCCAACCCCATGACGCCTGATGCCAAACACATGCTGAATCTGCTTTCCACCCAGAGAGGTCGCTCCCTTAGTGAAGGTCGCTCCCTTGGAGGCCCTGAAGGTCGACCTGGCCCAGCAAGCGGCGCAGACTTGGCCCAGCGGCGCAGGGTGATCTGCTCAGACTTGGTGTCCGAGATCCGCACAATCTTCCGGAAGGCCTGGAAGACCGAACGAACGAAGGTTGTCCGGCGTTCCCGCCTTCGGTTCCAGGCATGAAAAACGGGAGACATAGATGGATGGTGGTGCTTTGCCGAACTATGGCAAATGGGTTCTGGAACTGTATAACCCTATCTGGTACCTGTATGCCTCACAAACATATATATATATATATACCTTGAGTCTCCAATGACCCTTGTAAATTTGCCTTTCCAAGAAAAAGAGGTTTTTGAAAGAAAGCACTCTTTTTTGCATATGTCACGAAATGTTCCTTTTTGTGTGTGCCCTGGCAGATCCTCCTTAGACAGTGTCCTGAGACCTTTTTTTGGCGTCCAAAACGCGTCTTTTTGCGTCCAAAAGGCGTCTTTAAGCGTCCGTGCCGGACGCGTCCGGATGAAGATTCACTCTGCACCTTTTTTTGAGTCCTCATCTCTAAAAACGCGTTTTTCGAGCAAAAACGCAAAAATATATTAGACCAAAAACAAAAACGCAGAAAAAAAAGGTCTTTGGAGACTCAAGGTATATCTGTGTGCGTGTGTCTGATGTTGGACCTGTTTTGATCTCTACAGGACCTTCAATGAATTAATGAACCATGTTCACCTGCTCGAGTGAACCTTCAAGTTCAAGTCTTCGGGAGCAGCTCATGGCCCATTCATGGAATGCGCCTCATCGACATTCTGGAAGCGACTGATCAAGAACTCCAACAAATCCAGGATGTCCTCAATGTTTTTCCACGGTTCGGCCGCTTCGGTCGAACGACCCGACCGTCCGCGCAAAGAATCCCACAAACTGGTTCGCTCTAAGTGGTGGCTAGTGAGGGAACGTACCGGAAGGGACTTTGTCCAATGAAGATCCCTGAGTCGTGTATGCTAGTCCATTTGGACACAAATGGAATGGTTCCGGTCAAAAAAATCTCCAGTGAGACAAGTGTGACACATTTTTTTCGTGCTGCAACGGTGTACACCAATGTGTGGAACAGGGGCAGCACAAAGTCAGTGATGCAAAGCCCGGGACCCAACCAACCGGGGATCCGATCAACCACTTCGGACTCTGTGCCACTGACCCCTTCAGTTTCACTGACCCCTTCAGTTTCTACCTGGACCTGTACTCCACCTGTTCTTGCTTAAGTGCGGACACCCATTCACCAAAAAGCTGTTGCAGGCCATGCACTGGTCCGGATAAGGACCTCCCAACCAAAAGGCACACATGAACTCCGACACCCAAGCACCCAAGCACCCTAATCCCTTCTCACACGGCCCAATGGGACTCGATGGGGCTGTCCACCCCAAAAGAACCACTCCAAGGTAGCGAAATCTGCCAGTCCCATGGCATCCAGTCCCTTGGGCTCTTGATCTATCACCCCCTTTCTGCCCACCAATTCACGCCCCGTTCCGACGTTCTTTTCCCCCGTTCCGACGTGAAGACCCCACCTGAGTCCCACGAGCCCCACGAGCCGGCGCCGTTTCCGTCCCGTCACGGATCCGTCCCGTCGAACACGTCACGCCTCTGGCGGCTCCATGAGACCGGTCCACCACATAATGTCCTGGTCTCTCGGTCCCACCGGTCTCTCGGGAGACCGGCGGTGGTGAACACACATGCGGGTTCTTTTAGATCGGTCTGGTCATTACTCGGGGTCCGGTCATAACTATACACACATAACTATATTGCATAACTATATTGCACATACCAATACATAACTATGGGTATTGCAGTTGCAGGGTTTTGAAGGATGATTGCTGTTGAAGTCAAAAGTGAAGGCCAACAATGGCCAACATAAGTTCATGGACAAGAGTCTCGGCCGAGTTGGAGGAAATGACTCAAGCCACTTGACACCAACACGATTTTGGAGGACAATGATGACCACTTTGGACTGGGTACTGCTACCTAAGATTGAGATGGGCATCCCGGAGAGCAACAAAGAAATACAAACAATGATTTCAAGTAACTATAAGAGTAGCCAATAGCTAGATGACGTTCACAGCTCACGACAAGTCTGGTATGGTGATATCTTCGATGTTGTGTTGCACATATTTGTCCCACTGGTAGTCCATCGTGCCAGGGTACATGTAAATACTGAAGCGCTGAACACAAAAAACCTGCCGTTGCCACATATCAACAAACTGCTTGTTCATGAAACTTTGACCAGCACTCGCAAGGGTATAGAAAGAACACCTGTTCTGAGCTAGGTCTAGGGTGCTTGGCAAACACCCTGGCTTGCCGAAGCGCGCGGCAACCAACTTTGGCAAGAGCGCCCCGTAACCCTCCAGGACTATTCCCCCGAGAAAATGTATCAACAATTGTAATAACCCTAGAAGGCAAACAGGACATTCACCGATTCCAAGGCTCACAAAAAATACATAATATAATATTAATTAATATATAATATATATATATATTATGCCATTATCTGACTACTCTTCCCGCAAGCTTTTACTCTTGACAACATCCAATCCAAAAACAGTCGTCCTGCTCCCGCGTGCTGGCCATGATCTTCGAATCGTAGTAGCCATACCTCAGCCGACATGTTCCAAACCCACATGCACCACTTTCAGCAAGGCCCAAATGAAGCAAGGCCCAAATTTGGGACATCCACTCAGAGGTAAAACTCCAAACCGGTCACGAACGAGGTCGCGAATCGAAGCACTTTGTTGAGACTTTGAACCACTTAGCGGCATGAGGGCCCCCAAGTTTGGTGGTTGGAGATATGGCTGTGGGTTATGGCACCCGGGCATCCTGGTGGACCAGCGAAAAAATGCAAAAAAATATCTATGTTTGGTGGAAGAGGTTGGGTCAACCAGGATCCAACCAACTCCACCGCATATGACATGCCTTATTACAAAGAGGTTGGGTCAACCATGGCATGTCAACCTTCCATGTTTGGAAGAGGTTGAGTTCCTCACAGCCTTTTTTACACCCTATCGAACAAAGACATCATTGGGGTGGTGCCATCTACTCGAGTCAAGCACTGCAAGTGTTTGTGTGTTTGTGTGCTTGACTCTCAAGAGGGAGATCAAAGCAGGCCTCCACGTCAACATCCCGGAAAGCAGGGTGACCAACGCAGCGGACAGAAAGCGTCTGCCAGTAATTTGTCTGATCTGATGATCTTGGAGCTGCCAAGCACGAAGCAGAACAGAACCCACGAGTTATAATATCCTGGGGATGTTCTAATTTCTAATATATATTGTTCGATTAGTGTCCCCCACAGTTTCCCTGGGAACAACAAAGGTTTGCCTGTTCTCGCCGAGCTTAAAAATTTACCTTTTCTTGCCGAGCGGATCTGAGTGGGGAACCAAGATCCCCCAAAACGACTTTGCAGGTTTTCCACTTTTCCATCCTTTTCCTGGGTAGGCTGTTCAAGTCAATCCGGCCACCTCGGCCAGAGGTGCAAATTCGGGCGCTCCGTCCGTCCCGTCCGTCCTCTCTCCCCGTCCTCTCTCCGGTCTCTCCGGAACTCGACTCCAAGGCACGTCTCGGCCAGGCGTCTCCGAAACTCATAGTCTCGATTCTCAGGTGCACACTTGTAGCTTCCGCTGAAGATGCCCTTTGTGGGGCACTGCTTGAAACTCGGCGCGGTGTGGAGCGTTTTGGTGACGGACGGCGGGAGATGAGACGGGATGAGGCGCCCGGCATCAGGGTGTTGTTGGGAGGACGGGCCAGGGATGGACAAAGACAAGCACTTCGTACTCTAATTTGGGGTTGCAAGCGCAGGTGCAAGTGCAAGTGTGGAAATGTGCGAAAACACTGCATCCTATACTACAAGCAATCATCAATTGCATGCAAACGTAATGCAGCTGCCTTTCTTGGTGACTGTGAGCCCAATGGAACCCTTTCCGTGTTCCGCAAGGATTTCCCACCCTCAGTCCAGTTGTTCCTCCTTTACGCCATAACCCTCTCAAAGCTTCAGATCCCGAAGGCAATTTCAGGCAAAGCCAAACAACAAAGCAATCATATGCAAAAAACACCACTATGAGACCTCGCGAGTGGTTGGGGAGCTATACAGTCTCCAGGAATCAACACATGGGGTGTAAGCTCCTGGCTTTGCTGTCCAAAAGGCTGCGGCCCAAAGTCCTTTCATCGCTACATCTTCCAACATCTACCAACCGCGGCCCGCCTCAAGACTCACGATACGCTCACCACCAACTGTCTACTTTCCAGCACGCCAGCAGGCAGCACCGCACCCTTTAACTTTTCAACACACATTTGTGAGCTTCACAAATGTTGCAGCACATGAGCACAAGGTGTCGACACGCCGTAGCAACAGAAGCACATTGGAGTCAGCTCTCGGATCTGCCACACAGATCAGTGTGAGCAATGTTGCACCTGGCCTCATGTCATGGGACTCACCCCTCCCCCACCTATAGTGGTATCTTATATAATAAGAGCTTCATTTCATGTGATACCACCATGAGAATACCATTATGTAGTGGACTCTCCCTTCCACACACGTTTTAGTTATATCATGTGTTTTCTTCTGGGATGGTCCTTTCTCTGTGCAACCGTCTGAGGGTCCTTTCCCTGAGGCAGAGAAGCCGCCCCCCGCTTCCACCAAAGGCTTTGAAGGAGAGGTTGGTGTCATGCAAGGGCCAGCTACACAAGGTGAATTCACAGTATCATACAGGAATGGCTGTTCCATTCACAACATCGCCAGGACTACTAAAGCTGAAGCTTGTAAAGTCCTAGCCGAATGAGTGCAACTGTGCAACTACAAACTCAACCATGAGCAACTACAAAGTCACGGCAAAGGCAAGTCAGTTATGTACGGATGCATGGGCATTCCAGCGACCAAAGTGTCCAGCAGCAGCAAGTGCCAAACTGATACAAAGACCATGCTTCCTGCTGATCGACACAAGTTAAATGAACGTGGGTCAACCGCCGGTATAATAAGGTGTTATTGTGGTGTTTGTGCTATCAGCTTCGCTTGATTTTATACGTTTGGCCGCCGCAACACAAAAAAGAGGTTCCACAAAACGCATATATATATATATATATTATACAAAAAGCCGTTATCAGTTCAAAGCTTTTTCGCAGGACCAACAGCGCCTAACGGTCATTGGACATGGATTCCCATGCAGGCCCTTCCTCACAAGGTGTCAGAATGGTGCTCACCTGAGACGTGGGTCAAAGGCACACGTGGTCGTCTTTGTAGTAACACAGCTAACACATGCAGTTTGATTCAATATATGCGTGTATATTTATATATAATGTGGATGCTGTTTGATTAATCACCCCTCCCAGGATATAGTGTCTACACATTGTTTGGAATGATTAATAACCCCTCCCAGATTATTGTCTGCACTGGTTTTTAATGTTACTTGTCTTGTTTAACAGTATATGTATTATTGTTTGTTGTTTAAATGTTGTTTGTTAATATTGTATATATGTTTTTCTGTTTACGTAAAACATTGTTTTATTAGCTAAACCTAATTATTGCATTTTCTGTTGAATTTGTTTATGTTTATTTCTATTTTTGATTTCTGTACAGTCGAGATGTAATACTATCCCATTAACGTCTCCTGCAATAATGTCTGTTCTTTAGGTCTTTAATCAAAACACCTCCTTGAATAATGTCTATTGTCTACGCTTTTACATTGTTCAATAGTAACTACACCTAGAATAGTGTTTAATTACCTTTTATACTTCCTGTTGAACTGCTTTTAACTCCTTTTGATTTCCTTTTAATTCCTTTGAATTCCTTGTGGCTTCATTTTTAACTCCTTGTGATTTCCTTTTAATTCCTCGAATTCCTTGTGACTTCATTTTTAATTGCTGTTGATTTCCTTTTAATTCAGATGAACTCCTTTGGATGTCCTTTTACTTCCTTTTGATTTCCTCATGGTTTGTTCAGAAAAAATCAATCATCAGGAGTCTAATGGATTCGACTAGGGGGACATGCTATATATTCAAGAGCCCACCTTATACATTACGTATTTATACATAACATATGCATATTCACCTTATGTCATAATACTGTTCATCCCCATCCATGCTGAATCAATGGCTCGCTCGGGCGTTTGCCCTTCACTGCATAACACTTCACGGTTCGACGCAGGGAGAAGCACATATTTAACTGACCTCAGGAGGGGAACAAACATACACCCTATAGCACTGACCTCACGCCATCTGGTTGGTGGTTTCAACTGACTTTTTGCAAGTCCAGCCAGTGGATTCAAGCATTCCAAGCAAAGGCTAAAAATATATCTCAGCCATCGATTTCCAAGACCTTCAGAGTGATCTTTTGGAAGTCTTTAAGTGACGTCAGGGACAAAGTGACCTCATATAGGGATCTCAAAAAGGTCACTTTGAAACCATTGCTTTACCAAGGATTTAGAGTACAAAACCAGATCAAGCATTTGAACAATTGTCTTGGAATTCTAGGGGTACAAGAAAGCAAGCAGCATCTTACATAAACACTGCTTGCATGCAAGAGCATTTGTCGAAACTGATAGGAACCGTCACACCAACAAGCCCCACAACCAACACCTCGCTTCAAGTTTGGTACATCTTTCAATGGATCTTTGCGGACCTGTGAGTCAATGATTTTCTCTGCATAGTGTATGACAACATATAATCCACAAACACACCGCACATTCATTGAACAAGTCATTTAGACATAGTTATACAGTTGTACATTTAACTATATAATGAACTAAAAAACCGTATATATATATATAACTAAGTATATCATCGTTAAATAATGTACCTCTCGACAGTCTACGCACGTCAACGAACTTCTTGCACCAAACATCCCCCACGGGGTTCTTCTCACTGTGGGGGGGAATACTGCCGTCCAGCTGCTCATAGCTGCACACCGTGAGCTCGAGTCGCTTCAAGACCAACTGCCGTGCCATCTGGGCCGCCGTCTCATTGACCCCATTCACCGACACGATCCGGTCATCCGGACGCAGCGTGTCCTGGATGGTGCACGCTACAGGGTCGCAGCACGTGGATGAAATGGGACAAACATGGACTCACCATTTACAGTAGATCCAATTAGATCCATTTAGCTTGATTATCTACACAGAATCACACACACACATTCTTCACAGAAAAGGTCCTCTCTTTTTGGCTAAACAACCACCCCCAGCAACCCTACACCCCAGCTGGGCTTTGAAAAAAGCCTTCCTGGATCCAAGAACGGCGAACCTGTCACAAAAAAAACACCGACCACTCACCATCAGGAAGGGCTTCTGCCAAGACCATCAAGTTCTGACTCCCTCAGTTTATCTGGAACATCAAGTTCGACTCTTGACCAGCTGTTGGTAGAAACAAACTCCATGTCGGTTGGTAGTGTAAAAACAAACTCCCCCCAAAAGGTCTTGCAGGTAATCCACTGACTGGGTAGGACATGGACTCCAATCTCCTTTTGAACCCCCCCCAGAGAGGTTAAGTTACAGTGGTTTCAGAGTAGATGGCACAAACCCCTACATGTCCTTTAGATGGGGGTCAAAATTCACCACCTTTTGGGGATTGCGCCATCACTCGGGAACCACTGTAAAAGTTATCCACTTTTCATTGGAAGTTCTACATCCTTCATCGAGCCGCTGAAACCGAGTTCAGAGGGCCGGCCGGACCGGTCCTGGCTGATCCCGTGCTGGGCAACAAAGCCATCCGCTTCCACTTTGGTGACCTGCAAAGTCCCAGTCTCCTGGCAAGATCCCCGTCTCCCAGACCATCCATGGGACTGGAATACAATTATGCCGCCCCATTGACCCCAGCCACCACCATGTATAATGTATACGTAAATATATATGTGAATATGTCATACATTGATGGTCTGGGCGAGGAAAAGCGACTGAAGGAAAGGGGGAGAGCAACAAGCAACGCAGAACATCTAGCGGGTCCGGTGTCCGCAAACCTTCCAACAACCGCAGGCTGTGGAAACATGATCCGGGTCCGTGCTTCAAGGTAGCAAATGTTCAGAGAAACATCAGAAACATCTTCTGAACATTCCTCCGAACTCTATGAACCTATGTGTGTTGCTGTGTTGCTCCTTTTCCATCTTGCCCCGACGGCAAAAGGAACAAACACACCATCCCCAAAAGGCACCATGGCACCCCTCTAGTGGCCGAAAGGCCACCACCTGCGGACCTGTGGTCTTTTTCCGTGCTTCTCTTCCTTGCTCCGCCCTGCTCCTTCCGGTTGGCCAGGCCCAGGCCCAGCTTCCCCTTGGGCTCCAAGGTGATGCTCCGAAAGCGCGGCCGTTGAAAGTGGAGCTCCAGCAGACCCTGGCGTTTCCAGGCCGGTCCAGGCGTCGAGACGCGTGTGAAAACGGGGTCTGGGTCGGCGCGTCGTCGCCCAGACGGACTCGCCCAGAGCATCGGCACTGGCGCCGATCCGTTGAGGCGGTTTAGGGGTCCGCCTGGGGCGGCAGTCCTATGCCAGTCCCATGGCATGGTCTGGGTGGTTTTGAGGGACTGGTCCAGCTGTGAACGGAGCGTCTATGAGCGTCTGGCGGAAAATCTGTGGACCCCAAAGTTCAACGGAGACTTTCGGCGGAGGAACTTTCTGGTCAACACCTCCTGCGTGTGTCGTAAAGAAGAGGGAACCAAAGATGATGGAACCTTTGTGCAACCTATCTGGGACAATTTGCTCTCCAAAAGCAATCAAAAGCACAGTGCTTTCCTTCCGAACAAAAACGCTTCAACCATCTAAGAGCTTCGCTTCTGATCACACACACACACAGGTCACCCCTTGTCACTCACGAGTGGAGCTATCATCAAGCCCATCATCAAGTCACATTTGTGGAGACCCACCAGGATCTTCCCTAAGCATACCCAGACCATCCGGACTGGCATAGGACTGCCGCACCATGGACCCCGTACTTCAAACGGCCTCAACTGATCGGCAGTCCTATGCCAGTCCCATGGATGGGAGGTCAATCGTCGACAAACGCTTGAAGCTTCACCAAGCCGAAAGTGGTTTCACTCGCAAGCATGTGAAGGACACATCCAGGTTGAGAGCGTAGAAAAGGTGCAAGAGGCAGCATCTCTCAAACCAAAGTGTTTTGAACGAATGGCTAAAACAAAACCCCCGGGTAGCAAGCACATGTAATGTATCGATCTATTTAATCGCAACTGGGTTGACTCGGGAAACAGCATCTGAATCCCTCCAACAATGATGTCTTCTCTCGCATGTCTTAATTCTGATTCATGACTTCATAATCACGGTTTGTTTATCAATCCTTCGTCCATTGGTACTGGCCAGCTTCCAACCCATTATAAAGTATAATTCATGATTATTCCAGCTTCTTTTGACCTCATCGTGACCCCTGACCCTTTGGATCACATCTACATCATCTACTAAACCTGCTCATGACCATGAGTTCTTTGGGTGACCGCCACACATCCAAACCCCGTGTGATCCTAAAACGCCTCAGTTCCTCCGAGGTCGGGTCCAACCGTCGGCTGCACCGACCACCTCCTTCTGCTGCACCGAGGCTGAAGACTTCGGAGAGGCCAAGGACTTCGCCTCGGTGTCCTCGGTGTGATGCGTGGCGAGGCCCCAAACAAACACCGATGGCCCACCCAGTGACTAGACGGACATAAAACAGAATACACTACATGTATATATCTATAGAATATACATTGATATACATATGAATAACCACTAGCATGCTAGCAGAATCTGAAGCAAAGCACTTGGTCGCGAGTGGAAACAACGCGTCGGTCGGCCAGTGGTTTCACAAGAGTCGGGGGGGCACACATCATCCCGCCAAAGTGTAAAAAGTATCCCCCGTATACTTACTCAATTGGCCTGTGGTTCAGTCATTTCATTAAAAAGAGTGACTATAAATGGCCCACAGAGGACCAAACACTGCTAGATGTTAAAGCCAACTGCTTTTGTAAATGGGCACATGGACATCAAATCATGAGGCGCCTGTTTGACCAATCAGCACACTGTTTTATAACATGATGATCATCAAGAGGTGAACACAGTCATGCTTCTATCAAAAGAACCGACATGAGATGGCAAACCCCAGTCAGAATTTAATTTGACCTCTCAGACTGTCAAGGAAAAAGCAATCTACTTATCATCAGCGACTCCTCCGGTGGGGCGAGGGGATAGGAGGCAGAGGTGCCTACTGAATGGAACGGGGGGATCGGAGGCGGCAAGGGGTGACTAGGAGGCATAGGCGCCTCCTAAATGGGACAAGGAGATAGGAGGCAAAGTACGTCCTGCCACACTTGGAAAAATGACCTGCCTGGACTTCCAAATGACCTGGCTGGACTTCCAAGAGGCAACCATTGACAAGGACTTGGAGGAAGTCATTTTATACATGATGCTTGTGCAAAAAGTGGGAACGCTCCATATATAAAATGACCTGTCTGGAGTTGCATAAGGGTATATAGGCACTAGCAAGGACTTGGAGAAAGTCATGTTATAAATTGTGTTAGGGCAATAAAATTGGAAAAGCTATTGATTGTCTAGGAACACCAGGAACACCTGGAAAGGATAAGGGTTGCCAAGGAAACTTGGAAGATTAAGGATTCCAAACATGCATTTTGAGGAAGGCCAGGCATTTTCCCACAAAGTTTGGACAAATTAAGGGTTTGCAAGGAGCATTCAACCTTTTAGAGATTGCTCAAATGATGTTCATATGCCTTCACCTGCCTGGAGTTGCATAAGGTAACCATTACCAAGGACTTTCCACAAGCATTTGGAGTCGTCATATCTCCGCATGTCTCCGGGAATGTTTGCGCAAAACGGCCAACATTTCACAAAATGACCAAACAGGATTGCTGACTATAAAACGGCCAACTGTCTGTCTGTGATGTTGGAGGAGCGACCTTTTTATGAATTGGATTTCTTGAGATTTCTTGATCTGGGGTGCCCACAAGAGTTGTTTTTGTAAATTGACGCCGGCATGAAACTCTTCCCAGAACATACCATAACATGTCCCGTTCTATTAATTCTCATCACCTACCCAGCCTACCCATGGATGTTCTATAAAATGAGTACTTATTGCTGTTGCATGTGTTTGTTTCTCACTGCCCACATCACCCTTTACAAAGTGGTAACCCTTGTGGTTAGTCTATCGTCAAAGGGATATCGTGTCATAAACGTACTAAAGTTTGGGGGATGGTCCACACATCTGAAGATGGTCCACACATCTGAGCTTTCACCACCCCGTGATGTACCAAGATCTATTGTTAGAACCACATGAGACAACATGAAACCACACGGTTCATAGGGGAACCATCCGTCCACCGTGTAGGGTCCCATGCTACGTACCCGGTGAGTTCGCCGTTCGCACAGGAGTCCAAACATGAGCTGATGCGGCGCGCAGGAAGGTTTCTGGAAGGGAATGACAGGATGCGTCCACCGCGTTTCGTCATTCCTTCAAACAAATGGAGTCAACTTGATTCTGCCATAAGAGGATGACCACGGAACCCATCGACAAGCCTGGTGGAAGCATTTGAAGCCAAACACTTCAGATCGCTTCAGAACATCAACATCTCACCTATAAATACAGTAACACGAAAAGAAAAACCAAAGGGCTCTTCATCACCTTCCAATGGAAGGTCTGGTCCGGCGGATCGAGCTTGGGAAAAAAAAACGGTCCGGCCCAAGCGTCGGAGATCGCCAAAAGCCGATCGAGCTTCTGAATCTTCTCCTCAGGTCTTCGCCCAAAGTAGCTGAAACGGTGTCACGCGGCGGTCGCTGACTCGACGTTTTCTCTTTTCTTGGTTCCTCCATGGATGCCATCATCCACCACTGAGACAATGGTAGAAAAAGGGCACTCAACACAGGGATCCAAGAAAAACTCCATGTCGAGATCGCACGAAAGGGAACCATATCCAGAACTTTCAGTGCGAAACTGGTAACAGTTGTGGGATGAACGGTGTCCCAACCAAGGCACAAGTCACTGCCAACGAAGTAAAAGCAAGCTCGAAGCACCTCGGGTCTTTTCCAAGGATCTCTCACGATCCGGTGAAGTTCAGCAGGGTCGCAGGCCACCTATGGCTGCGAAGACAAAAGAACGGTAGCACGTGGCTTCACTCAAGTGAAGCTTGGCAAAAGGGATCCCTTGATCCGCAAAGTGGGCGATCGGGTGAATCGGTGGCAACTTGATCAACCTCAGTCAGGCGAATGCGAGAAAAATGAGATGGGCGAAAGGTCTTTGCCTGAGATTCACCCTTTCGCCGAATCAAATCTCGCCAGGTCATGTCAGGGGCCAGCTCAGGCTCATCGGCATTCATGCCATCGGGATCCTCATTGACCTTTTTCTTCTTCTTCGCCGCGATGAAGGAAGGATCAAACTTGACATTCCATTTTTGACCCTTTTGCATGAAGAGCTTGAAGTGGTCTTGGGCACCTGGCTTAGTCAAGCCATCTGCTAATTGTGCCTCTGATGAGACCCAAAGGAGGTCTGTGTTCTTTCTCGTCATGTTCTCTCGAAGACAAAGCAGTTCGAGAGAGGAGTACTTTTCTTTGAGCGAAAAACCTGAGCAAGCTCCTTCACCCTTGTGGTATGCATCGTAGACGCTCTTTGCGTCAGTCACCAAAGCTCCATCTATCTTCTTCGTTGCTTCTTCTGGAGCTCGAAGATCAAGACGATGCCCACATAGCTCAGACCAGAGCGCACGGCAGTACATGAGCTCTTGCTCACATTCTCCAAGGGATTGGAGTTCAGCTGAAAGGGAACTGCGGGCCACACGTGGCAGCTTACCACTCCTCCAAGCCACCAAGTTCACTGGTGAACGAACACCATCCAAGATCTCCTTGTTACAAAGGCCTATGACATAGGCTCCCGTTGATCCCATGTCTGGTCGATTAGCGACTGCTGCGTCCGACCAGCCAATCATCACGAGCTCATTGTCAGAGGTGGCATTCAACTGTTGGACCTTGATGGAGAGGCCTCGCTGAGCAAAAACTTCTCTGACCAGCTTGTTAATCTGGATCAGCACATCCTTGGAGTCTTGCTGTCGTGGAAGCATGCTTTGGAGCATGGAAAGGCGAGCTGCGTGCTGAGGACCCGTTTGGGTCACACGCCATTGGATTGCTCCAAGCACGGCGCGGGCTTGAGAGAGTTCAGCCGGAGTAACGCCCTCGGAGGTCTTGTCAATATCGATCTGTTTGATCTGCAGGGCATATTGTTCGTGATCTAGGCTGAAGCTGAAGTCCTTGTGCTGAATGACTTCCACACCGCAATGCAAGTAGGGATCAGCTTCCCAGGGACTCCATTTGAGTGCTCCATGGAATTGACGGAGGGTATTCAGCCAAAGTTCACTGTTTTCATCTCCGGTCACAATGAAATCGTCCACGTGACTTGCCACTGCTCCATGCACCACACCAGCTTCATCTCGACAGATCCATATGCAGGGTTCACAGACCAGCCTGGTCATGTTGCATTGCTGCGTTGCAATGCGATGGACATCACCATACCACTCCCTGGGGGCATTGACCAGTCCATAGGCTGCCCGAAGCAAGCGAACCATCTCGCCCTTTTGCAGCTGCATGCCATGAGCCAACTCATCAACTGGACATGCGAACACGTCCCGGCTCCGTTGAGACTCAGAGCCTTGGAGAAATGCTGCTTTGGCGTCAGCCTTCATCGTGCGCCACTGCCTGTGCATGGCGAGGTTGAGGATCAGCTGTCTGCTTCGACGAGAGAGAGTAGGAGCTGCCTTATCCAAGTGTTCGCCGTCTGGGTCAGAATAACCCAAAACTACTATTCTTGCTTTGGCTTTCATCTTGCCAACTGAATCCGGGTTCTCCACATTCTTGAACACAAGGACCCACCGCATTTTCATGAGGCGAGACTTGGGCACTCGAAGACCTGCTCGTTCTGCCACTTTGTTCGCGATCCAAGAATCGACCTCAAGTCGCTTCGCTTCACTCATAGCCTGGCGCTGAGTTGCATTCAGCTTGTGCCAGGCAACTTCACAGCCCTTTTGTATCGATTTCGCTGAGTACTTCTTGGGGTCTTTAAGGATGCGTCGCCATTCATCTTCATTCTGAGGAGCATCGATGACGACGGAGAGAACAAAGTCATTGTCACCAGAGCTGCTCCAACCAATCAAGTCCTCACCCTGATACATCTTAGGGAACTTGGCATGATGAGGACGATCATCCATTTCATGCTTCTTTCTGGCCTTTTTGAACTGCCAGGAGGTTCGCCAGGAGGTTCAAGAGGATGAAGAGGAAGGTATGAAGGGTCGTTCAACAAACGATCCACGTCCAACTCTTCAGAATCATCAGGGCCAAGTTCAGGAGCCATAGAAGCATCTGGAATGAGCTCTTCGGAACTGTCACTGCCCATCGCTTCCGATTCACTGGGGTCACCTTGGTCATCATCTGTCCTTAGCTTCTTCGGTGTCCGGGATGGGCGAAAGGTCTGTCGCCTCTTGTGCTCAAAGCGCTCGGCGCGAGACGCCGTCAGATCTTCAAAGGCGCCCTTGTTCAGAGTGTTGCTGACCATGTTGAAGGTCCAAGGCATCGCCACTGTCTGAGAGGCATTGGCGATCAACAGCTCAGTCTCGGAAGCGTGTCGCACTTGGTCACAGTGTGTCTTCAAAAGCCTACCACCTGCAACAAGCCAGACAGTAGTAGAAGGCGATCTTGAGCTAGTAGTGGCACGTGTTTCACAGGCCAAGACTCGAGCCGGCCCAAACCATCGAGCAATCCTCATTCGCGGCACGTCCACATCAGCATTGGCAGGGGCCTGCTTCGGAGTTTTGTGCCGCTGGTAGAAGACAGTGTCACCAGGAATGAATTGCTTCACAGGTCGACTCCTGGTGTTCTGTGCTCTGGAAATGCGAGATGCCGCGGTGAGCTTGTTGTGCAAATGTTCGGCTTCTTGACGTAGACGAAGGTTCTCTGCCATGGCATGTCCAGCGATGCCTTCGGTGCAAGAAATTGCCACATTCTTGTCTGGCGAATCTGCGCGACCAAATGCCCATTGAGATGGAGCGTACCCGCCAACTCGAGTGACATGGTTGTGGGCACTCACCATGGCAAAGGCAGCACGCTTTGGATCACCAGGTTCGTGCCTCAAAAAGGTTTCCATCTTGTGGCGAAGCTCACCAATGGCTTTCTCAACTGCTCCAGTAGAAGAATGGTGTTCGGCTGGGGTGTGTAACAACTCAACTCCTCGTTCAGCACACCATCTTGCAAGATCAGTTCCACGAAAGGCACCTTCTGCATCGCACCTAATCTTTGAGGGAAAACCAAAAATCTGGCACCAGCTCTCCTCCAAAGTTTCAATCACCTCAGCCGTTGAGATGTTCTCGGACTGGTCCTCTGGGTGGTTCATGATCTCTTTGACCACTGCAAAAGAACTGGCCTCATCAAGAAGCAGTAAAAAGTGGTGTACGGTATGAGCATGACGAAAATGAAAGCTATCCATTTGCAAAGTCTTCCAAATGAACTCTTCTCTCTCTAAGGTCACACGGGCCAAAGGAGTTGCTGTTTGGCTCTCAACACAGTCTGGACAAACCAGTTGAGAAGCGGCAGCTTTCAATTCATCACTTGCACCACGAGCACGAAGAAGCTTCAGCATCGCTCGCCTATTGGGATGTCCACAAAGTCGGTGCAGTTTTCTCACCGTCTCCATGATATGTTGCAGCTCTTGAGGAGTCAGCTTGGAGAGCACTGAGGTGTCTGGATCTTCTTCTTCTTGAATACCCCCAACCAACATGGAATGCTTCAGCATCCCTTTTGCAGCTAAATGGCATAGTTGAGGAGTGTAGAACGCAGACTTGCGAGCATTAGAGCCAAGACACGGCGCATGGTGGTGACTGCCATCACAAAGTCGGCCAAGGTCAGCTAATGCACCCTCTCGAGTGCACATGAATCTCCACGGCTTCTTCACAGGACCTTGCTCAGAGGTCAAGACCAAGCATGCAACCATCTCCAAGCGTCTCATGAGCCATGCCCTTGTCCTTGAGGAAAGCCCAAAAACCTTCGACCTCAGGCAAACGCCAGGCACGGTTGTACCTAGGCCATTCCCAACCGATCTCGCCGTCGTTCTTCAGGTGTTCATGAAGAACTTGTAGTCCTCCTCTCAACACCTTTCTCGCATGACGCTTCCGGTAGAGGCTCTTCTGACGTCCAGCCTCAGTTCTTTCATTCAGGGCCTGCACCATTGAAGTCGGGCCGCATGGAAAGCTCACCCAAATCCAACGAGGTCGATGAAGGCGAAGGAGTTCCAGAGTGGCGTCAACGCCGCTCTGCTTGGTAAGATCGCAGCCATTGTGTAAACCTGCACGGCCACCTCTACCGCCGGCTCGAAGCACTGCCTCAGTGAGCTCGCTACCCGGGCTGCAACAAAGCTCCAACACATCCCAATGCTTCATGTAGGAAAGACCACCATTGGCCACTAGAACGGAATCACATTCGTTCATCAGTTCTCCCACGGCCTCTGTCATAAAGGTCATCTCCTTGGGTGTCAAACGGCACAAATCTTCCTCCATAGGTTCAAAGGCGTCCTGGTAGAAGGGCTCTTCAAACGTCTCCTTCTGGGCTTTAACCCGGTCATTCACAGAAAGGAAGGCATTCTCAGGAACCTGAACATTCGGAGGCACCTGGGCATTCTTTAGAAAGCGGACATTCTTTGAATGCTTGGTGTTCGAATTCACTGGGACATTCGCAGTGGCGGCAAAGGTCTCATTCATGTTCTTCTCCTCGAAGTCGCCGCCGATGTCCACATTGCTTTTCATTGGGATCGTGCCAGAGTGCTCGGAGAGGTCCGAACTGGCGACCACGATCCTTCTTGCTGTTGAGCCTCCTGGTACTCCAGATCCTCCGCTGCTTGCTCCCCCTTCCTGGTCTTTCGGCCTGGCACTTGAGAAAGCTCCTCCGCATCCGTGGGAGAAGGCTGAGCTGCCGAGGTGGGAGTGTAATCCGTCTCGTTGGTGGAAGGGGTCCCCGGCGCATAGCCCGCTGCTGCCTTCTTGGCCCGGATCTGGTCCAACTTGTTGAGGAGTGACCTCTCTGCGCCGTCCAAACCAATGGCTTGGTTCTTCAGCAAGGGATTGCCTGGCGCTTTCTCCCCCAGCTCTTCCACCTGCTTCTTGGTGTCCTCTGGGAGAGGACCGGCCTGACGGTGCAGACCTGTGGCCCCGTAAGCCGGGGTGTACTCCAGGCGCAGAAGACAAACACTGCATCCCGTCCATTTGGCATGGCCGTTGGAGCCCGTCACCGAGCCCCTGTAGGCTGCCGCCGGAGTGTGGTGACCCATGCATGGCGGTCCATGTGTGCGGGGGTCCCGAGGATCTGCCAGCACCGTCCTCGAAGTGTCGTAGCGCTCGTCCGGCGGCGCTGCGGCTTTCTTCTTCGGCTTGGTCTCCGAAGACAACTTGCCCGAAGACGCCGCTGCTTTCGATGCCGGCTGGGCCATTGCTGGAAGGAGTGAGGATCGCAACTGAGGAGGCGGCGAGCAAAGTCAGAGCTCGAAGTGACATCTCTTGTCTTTGAGCCTGGAGGTCGGTCAAACAAGCGTTCTCATTCAAACATGTACTCGAAGGTGAAGAAAAACGCACAGCAAAACATGAACTCAAAAATTCTTCAGCATGTTCTCCATGAAGTTGGTGCAACTGTGAAAGCTCATGCTCATGCAAAAATGACTCGACACTCAACGCTGACAGTGGCAAAGGACTGGATGAGGGTAGTTCTTCATTCTCAACCATGAAGCACGACGGAGCGGCAGGAACACCATATTGCGACCGGTCGGAGGTCTCGGAGGTAAAAAGGATCTTTGATCCATCGGTCAACCAGTCGTGAGAAAGATCCATCAGCAGGTGTCCTGACGAACTTTTCCTCAACGGAATCAAAAGGGAGGCATCTATTGCCGTCAAAACCAAAGCACTTCGTGAGCAATCCAACAGAGCACCAAGTCTTGACAGGGTGCGGATGCCAACAAGAACAGGAACACCCTCTGCCTCCAAGGTGTATATTCCAAGGCTCAGTTGGTGAGCTCCAAGGCGTTGGGGCAGGAGAATCATGCTCTCACTCTTCTGGACCATCCCGTTGCCAAAGCGGAACCATTTGTTGGGAAGGTCCACCACTTGGAAATCATCCAGGGAGCAGCCAGCTTCCTTCCGTCGAAACATGATGCGCTCCAAGGCACCGAGTCCTGCCACAGTCTCGGTTGCACCCGTGTCGAGCACACCAAAGCCATCTTGCTCTGGGGAAGTGATGGTGCCCACCGTCAGGATGGACAAAGGATTGGCCGGGCTTGACCAAGGGTGACAAACAAAGGTCTCTTCAACCTGGCCACCGTCGTTCACCTCATGAGCATCCATGGAGTCAATCATGAAGACTTTTCCTCCACTGCCTGAACCTTTTCCAGTCTTTGAGCGACGAGGACATGAACGAAAATCATGGCTCTTGTCCCCACAAATGAAGCAACCCGTGTAGGAGGGAGAACCGGGTTTGCCTCCACTCACAGCTAGCACCGGCGATACCGAAGGAGGTGAAGAGGAAAAAGAGGGTCTACCACCAAAGCCCTTGCCTTTACCTTTCCGAAGTCCACCAAAAGAACTCTTGCCCTTGAACTTCCCCTTGGGGTAAAAACCACGGCTTGCATTCTTGGCGGCAGCGGCACGTCTGCTGTCCTGGAAAGAGCGCATCTTTTCTTCATAGGCCGCGTAGGCTTCAACCACCGGCTGAGCCTCTTCAGGTGAGCTCCAAAGCACTGCATTCCAAGCGTCAGTCTCGCTCCAGGCCCAAAAGGTCCCAAGTGAATCTTGGTGGTAATATTTACCATCGTTCTCCTGGGTCCACCAAACATAGGCACCAGGATTGTGAGGATGACTAGCCCAAAAACCTTCTTCAATCAACTCATCCAAGTCATGACGAGAAGGTGGAGTTTGAGCACCTTCCCATGTGGTCTGGAAGACCTGGTCCACAGCTTGGCCAGACAGCCAATGAATCTCATTCTGTTCCAGGAGGTCCTCAGTCTCGGCCTCCTCAGTGAGCAAAATGCCCCAATCACCTTCTTGTTCGACCCAAAAGGAAGTCCTATGCTTGCCCTTGCCGTGTCCTTTGGGGCGTCCTTCACGCTCACGCTCAACCAAACGCAACTCATCTTCAGCTCCTCGAAGACCTCGCTCGACGTCCTCGGCACAGAGGGAATTTCCAATGCTTGACAAAACGTTCAAGCGTTGAGCAGCATTCAGTGAAGACTTTCTCAACATGATCCAGCCGATGAGTTCAGTCGGCAGGACCTCAGGAAGACCGATGTCAAGGTCGTCCCAAAGAGCAGAGCCTCCTTCTTCATCATCACTGTCAGAGCCCTCAGAGCCTCGTGAGCCACGAGAAGGAGAGCCACCTTCTTTCTTCCTCTCTCGTTCAGCCGTCCGGCTGGGAGAACGCACTTCTTCTTCTTCAACTTCCACAAAGCGTTCTGCTTCCTCTGCCTCCGTCCCTTCTTCAGCCGCAGGCTCAGGAGCAGATCTCGGTCGTGAAGAGGTCGTCGATGTAGGTCCATTCACTTTGGCATCAGGAACATCGAGGCGAGCACGCTTCAGCGCGCGCTGCAATTTGCGGTACGCTTCGCGTACCTGGTGACACCAAGTTGCCATAGAAGTTCCCGGAAGACGCCGGAGTCGAAGTAGCAAGTTCTCAGCCTGGGATCCCGCATCTGGGATGGGAACCCGTGCAAGCCTTTCTTCTAGAAAGGACACTAAGTAGCGAGCACCACTTGGTTGAGTGAGAAGGCGATGATCAATCTCCTGGGTCACAATCCAAGCTCTTCCACTCAGCTGAGAGACAAGTTCTGGGCCCAACTGTCCGCGGCGACGACGGCGTGTCTTCTCGAAAGCCAGTCGCACACGACGAACATAGTCAGGCCATGTACTGAAGTCTCCATCCCATTGGCACCTGAGGAAATTGTCCTTGTCTCGTTCAGACATTGCTCTAACAAAGAGTTCACAAAGAGGTCGGCAAAGAAGTAGCCAAAAAGGGAGGAAACAAAGAGCTATGCCACACGATCGTGCCGAGGTTCACCTCAATGACTCGTGCACTGAGACTCACCCCAAAGCCTAACCAATTCCACTTCCAACGCCCTGGATCTCAAAACTCGTGCAACCAGCAGCAGCTCCAGGTCAAAGTAGATCTTCTCGCCACTGCCGGCAGGGAGCCTTGCCGGCTCCGCTACCAGTTTCAGTGCGAAACTGGTAACGGTTGTGGGATGAACGGTGTCCCAACCAAGGCACAAGTCACTGCCAACGAAGTAAAAGCAAGCTCGAAGCACCTCGGGTCTTTTCCAAGGATCTCTCACGATCCGGTGAAGTTCAGCAGGGTCGCAGGCCACCTATGGCTGCGAAGACAAAAGAACGGTAGCACGTGGCTTCACTCAAGTGAAGCTTGGCAAAAGGGATCCCTTGATCCGCAAAGTGGGCGATCGGGTGAATCGGTGGCAACTTGATCAACCTCAGTCAGGCGAATGCGAGAAAAATGAGAAGAACTCAGAGGGGTTCGATTCCACTTTTATCAAATGTTCAACAGTTTTGCTTGGTTCCAAGGAGACTTGCAGTCCATTTGAGTTCTTTTAGAGGGGCCATGGGGAGAAGGACTGGCAGGCAAAAAAGGCTAAACGCATCAACCTCGTGGGATAACAGTTTCAATTACCACTTCCCAGTCCAGTTCGGTGGTTGGACTCTCACCTCCACCCATCGAGTTCCATCCATTCACCGGTCTCAGGTGCGATCAAGTTGAAGGAAAGAAACCCAACACGGCCCATGGGATTGGCATAGATACCTACATGTTTGGCGCACTGTGAGACCAATGTAGGCACTGACTGTGGGGCCAATATAGGCTCTGTATCTGTATATATACATATATACATTCCTGTCCCATGGAGTATTCGGGTATATGGTTTAGAGATGTTTAGAGCATCCACAGCGGCATGATGCGGCATGCCTGGAGCTGTGGCCCTGAAGGTCTGAGCCTAGTGATTGATGAATACAACACATGAATAAACAACTCCCACAGATATATATATATATATACATAATCCATCATAATCCCATAAGAAGATCTTAAACCATTCTGGAAGGGGAGGCTTTGATTCATCAACCTGCATTGGGGCACGCTCAGCGTCATCGTCCGGTGTGCGGAACAAGCCTCGGTCGCCGTCTCGTTCCATCGGGCAGCTGCACCAGTCTCCCAAACACGGCCTGAAACAAAGAGCAACGACTCCACGACCAGCGGTCGTGGGTCCAGCAAGGTTCCCCATACTGCCCGACATATCTAAACACCCATGCCAAGCGTGAACAAGTTCTTCAAGAACGATAATGTAGACTCTTGATTAATAGACCCTTCCATTTGAAGTGGAAGTCCTCTTTGTAAGTATGGAGATGTATGGGGGGGTTATCAATCAAGAGTCTACATTATGTGTCCCTTGTTATTCTTGCTATCCTTGCTCTGGGCCGAACAAAGACTTCCCCAAAAAGGCTGGTGTTGGACAGCTGAACGGGGCGAAACGTGGACACCTCCCCGCGGGATCCAGAAATTCCGTCCTTTTCGCGGTCCTTTACTGAGCCGAAAGGTCAGAAGCTCCATACCTCCAGAGATTGAACTGTTGAGTTGTTGGATTGTTTGATGATATTTTTGGTGTAGCGATGGAACCACTGAGGAATCTTGCCGCAAAGAAGCCTAATGCATGTTGACCAACAGCTCCTACCTTCAACCAGCTGGTCTTCACAAGCCGGAGCACAATCCAAGTGAACGTAGGTACCGCATTGTGCCAGCGTCTGCGTTTCCCAGCTTGCTATCGTCGACGAATCATCGAGGTGTCGAGACTTCCTCCAAAAGTGCCCGTTGGACGACTACTTTCCTCGTCTACCATCCTCTACCAACAGGGGGCTTTCCACAAAGTGATGATGTTTCCCTTTCTACTCACTAGATAATTGTTGATCTACAAGCATGATTCTTGCACTTCCATCTTGGTGAGAGTCATCTGCAGCACTTGCAGCTACCAACGCCAGCGTCTGCGGTGCCGCCTAGTGATAGACCCTGAACATCACATTTGTCTTGGGGACATCTTTTGCGTTGAACGCCGCATACATGGGTCAGTGTCAGGTACCATATCCCTATTGGTTGTATATGGGTCTCCCCTGTATTAACCAACCAGCCAAAAGCAACATACTAATTACACCATATTACATCCACCTTCTTGCTCAAGCTCAATGTAAGACCGTCTTCCTTACACAAACCATCCATGTATGGCATATTTGCCTACATTGAGGCGGTTTCAGGGGTCAATGTAGGCAAATATGCCAGTCCCATGGATGGTCTCTGGGTTTTAAAAAAAGCAAAGAGCTTCAACCTCCGAACCCCTTCCTCTCCGGGTCCGGTCGGCCCTCGCCCTCCACTCGGTCATCCCAAGGGGCTCACGATGCAGAGGTCCCCAGTGGTTTCGAAGTCCAAGCCCAGGTCACCGGGCAAAACGTCCATCTCCACCTCAAGCTTCATGGCATCGACCAGAAACGGTCGCAGTCGTGCATTACGGTAAGGCAGTAAGGCAGGAAGGCATAGGAAGCCGGCTAGCCTATTGTTTCGACCCCTTTTCGGACCGTTCGCAGGAGCCCATGGGCTTGTGACCTGATGGAACCAGCACGGCTCGTTAGGTCCAAACGGTTGCGTCCTGTGGTTGGGCTTTTCTCCCTAACCAAGTGCCATGGTATGCCATGGTCATCGTCTATCCTGTATGGAAGTGGGGTGGGCTCCGCGAGGGTCCAGTCATACCGAGGGGAGTATAAGGATATATAGTGGACAGCTAGCACTTAGAATACGACCAAAAGGACTTTTTGATTTGGCCCATATGTCCCAAGGTCACTTGTCCATATTTGTCCGCGGACGCGCAGATAGAATTTCCACACATCCACATAGAATGTGCGCACCACACTTAGAATATATGCGGCGTGTGCCAATCCAATCACACTTGCCTCAAGGGAGATGTGCAACGGTAAAGAATTAGAGGAACCAGTAAATATGCATGAGCCTTCATCTCCGGCGTCTTTGGGTGGGAAAAGATGCTGAGGTATGTGTGGTCGGTTATTGCACTTTAGAATGTATATTCTAACCGTGCTGTCGTTCATAAAAATGCCATATTCTAACTGCAACCAAATGCTCCGGCCATATTCTAAGTGCCGTCAGTGCACTATATGTATATATATATAATTGTCTTAATAACTGAGGGCAAGCCGCCACATACCTCGAGGCCTCCGCTTTCATCGCGTCCTTCGCCTTCAGCGACGCCGGCGTCCGCGGGGACGTGGGCGTCTCCGCCGACTTGGCGTCTCCGCCGTGGGCGGCCGCCGACTTCGCCGGCGAAGGAATGGGATCGAGACCGCCCTCCTGGGAGATGGCGCTGGGAGGAGGGAGGACATATCTGGATTTCTTGGAATGGAACATGACTCAAGCCATGCAATGGACTGAGAAAAAGGAACGCAGTCAGGAAGTGACATCAGAAGTGATTGAATCAAATCATTGAAACATGAACTCATCAAAGGCCAATGAAACAAGCAATAGTTGTTGTAAAGCCACGCAAACGCAACCCGTGAAATCATGGGGACATCCTGAAGCCTTGCAGTCATACTCGCAATCCTTAAATGTCACACCAGGCTTCCAGTTCGGCCAAAAGTCATTGTGAACTTGTTCACTTCCCCAACGGATCTCTCATGTCCGAACCCCTGTGACACCCAAACGCTATGGAAATACAGGCCAATCGGCCCGCTAAACAACCCCAACGGGTTGGCAAAATATGGCAGGTTCCCGGTCGTGCTTTGGGCACAAAAAGTGCTGCTCACGGAAGAAAATCCGTAGTGCGTTGGACAGTGAGAGCCTCCAGGATTCACCGCAGGATTCCGTTTGCCGCCGGACATTCCTTCACATTCCTTCCATCAACCATAGGGTTGAACCTCGCAACCAGACTCCAAACCTGGGCAAAACTGATGTAACATAAAGCGTTGGGACAATCCAGCATGAACGTGGGGTCCTCCTCTGCGAAGACGTGGAAGTGCACCGGCTGGTAGGCGGAAGAATCAGCGACGGCAACGGCTGGCTTCACCGCTTTGGTTGCGGCCACGACCTCCTGGTGATGCGCTTGTTGATGGGAGGTTGCCAGCTGGAACTTGTGCGAATTCATCAAAGAATGAACCAACCCAAACATGCCAAGCAACCCGTTTGGGGCATGAATTTAAAATGATTGCTTTCTGATCAACGGCTTCAACGGCTGTTCACGTGTGTCGAATATATGGGCGGCCTCTAAGTCACTAGATGGGACTCAAAAAGGAAGCTGCCACACGAGTATGCAACCTCTAAACCTCACTTCCTGATGCACATGGTGGCTTATGTGGCTTGAGGGAAAAAGCTAAAACACCTGCATGTATACTTGATGGTCGATGTCAACCCAGCGGAGAAATTATACAAATGATACCACGGAGCTGTAATGTGGCTTCTTGGTTGAAACCCAAAACCAATTTCCAACCTATGAGCAACATGTTCACCGATCAGGTCTTGAAAGTCGACAACTTGTGACGATCTTCATCTGGAAAATGCGTGGGTCACATGTTGGATGCCTGGGGTCCCAGAATCATAGAGCTATGACACCAAACCACGCAGTTGTACGACAAAAGTGGTTTCGTTCTGTCTTCTGTTGCTGTGGTCATGATCTATTTCAACTAGGGATCCACATACCTTCTCAGAAGGTACTTGGGCCCTCCAAGCCTACATAAATAGTCTCCAATCACCTTCTGAGAAGGTACTTGGAACCCTAGGGCAAGATAGAGCCCTTGATGACTTGGCCATCTCGGACTCCCTCCTGTGCAGGAGGCTCCGTGTGGTCCTCACATCCGCAGCACAATGGAAACATGGCCCATGCGAAGGTCTGCCCAACGAAGCAAAAGACTAAGCAATCATAGAAAACAAACGCAACTGCACGTATGAACCTATTGTGTCAACCTAAACGAATCTACATTGAGTCTATCATTGACAAAGTCTTTGTTGGTCTAAACTGATTGTAATTGATTTTATATGTGTCACATGTGTTTGTTTTTCTATGATCATACTGCCTGATTGTTGATTCTCACGAGGACATTTTGTTTGGGCGTGTTAAGCCGGAAGATGAAGAGCTGTTAAGCCGGAAAATGGTGCATCAAGCAGCCAACGTCATGACAGCCGCAGGAAGAATAAAAGAAACCATGCTCCCCGGAAAGCGTAAGACCAATATAACCAAAGTGATGCACTGACCGGATTTGATGAGATGCAAACACCTCAGATCGGCAGCTTTCAGACTCCAGTCAATGGCAACAAAAAAACAATAACAATAATATAATATAACAACAACTTTCCCTACAGGTCACTTTGGCCACATTTTACTGGAGTTGATCACACATGATCACACCATGTAAAATGAGGTAAAAACATGTAGAAACAAAGGGGGGATGTAACGGGTGTTGTTGCTGTAATAAGATCCCTTTACATACCTTATCACACCAAAACACCATGTAAAAATGATGTAAATCAAGAGAAGTCAAGGGATGCCGGTTCGGACCTGGGTCAAACGGTCAGACCTGGCCTTCTTCGACCCAGGGCCCTGCCGGGGCCCGCGCTCGGCCCAGGAACGTGGCACACCCATGGTCAAAGGGTCAAAGGTACCTGGCAGCTACACGACGACAGCTACGGGGCAAACGGTTTGTTGGAAACATGACAGCTACTGTTTAGTTCACTTTAAGTCCATACTGCATATTTGCCATGTATATTATATATATACAGTATATATATAATTATATATGTATACAGTATGTATACCGTACACCATTTCTTTTTTGGGGGGGTTACATGCGTAAAAAGAACACTTTCACCATCTTTCACCCTACTGGGAAGCTCAAAGCATCTGTTACTTTAGGTCCCCTTGCAAAAGATTGCACTCCAACTTGGCCAAGGAACGTGGCTTGGTGCCTGGAGAGATCTTGAAAGACTCAAAGCTTGGATATCTCAACATCTCTTATTGGGTATCTCCCATTCCCTTGGCCCAGTGGATGATGGCTGGGTTGCAGGCCGACATCTTACAGCTATGCGGCGTTTGGCCCGGTCGCGAGCAGTCACACAGAGGCTCCGGCCGTCGGGCCGCTCAAAGGTGGGCAAGTTCTCGGAGGCATTGTATCCCTGGAGAGAATGGGGCAGAGTGGGGCGTGGACGATTGGACGAGTCCGTTCGAAGATGGGTGGAACTGATGTGGATGACATGAATGACTTGAATGTCGTAAAGCAAAGGACTGGGACAAAGGGTATGATGACGAAGAACTAGCTAGTCTGCTGAAATCAAGCGGGGAAGCATGAGACAAAAGGGGTGTGATTGCTGGTCGAGCCCGTGCAATGTCATGCTCAGCTTTGGCCCAACTTCATGAAGTTGCTTGATGAATTGATTTATATAACATGCACGTTTGCCATGCACATGTACCTTTCCATCATGGGCCCCATAGGGGGTACTTCCTCAGTTTAGCTACTCAATACATATGGAGGTCCACCTTCTGAAAACAACGTACTGTGTGGGCTTCAAAACATGTCCTCGTAAAGTTGGATTTGTCCTGCGGGCTAACAACAGGACTCATCGTTGACGTACATCGCTACAAAAACAAGAAATGAGCAACCTTGCAAGGTCTGAATCTGTTTCGACAACACAAGGAAACTGTGAGAGTGACACAACCACCAGCACTACCAGCCACCACCTACCTTGTCGAAACGATCCAACGAGCGCACTGTCTCCCTAATTACCTAATTGCTTTCCGTTTCTCAGAGTTTCTGCTTCGAGTGGCAGCGATGGCGAGATGCATCAATACCAGGGCCCCCGGGCCATGGCGTATCAAGTAAGAGCCCCAAAAAGAGGGGCCATGGCGTGTCCATTCACCACCTGTTTGGGTGTCCATGAGCCACATATCAATACCCTTGGCGAGAACAACGTGTTTTTGCGGAGTCATGATGCCTCATGCCAGACGCTCCATGGGACTGCCATATATGCCTACATTGGGGTGGTTTGGGGGGTCAATGTAGGCAGTCCCATGGAGTGTATGGGCATCTTCTCTCTGGCTGTGCACCGGAGGAAGTCGTGGGCGTGTTGGTGCTGCCGAAGCAGCAGCTTGCACACGAGAAGCAGCATGTTTGGCCGCCAATGTCTCGGACCACTTGATTAAAATTGATTAACCAGGACCCTCCAAGGGGTGCCCCATGGAACCCTATAGGTAGTGTGGGGTAGTTCATTGGACACCCCTTGGAGGGTCCTGGAAACTGACGTTTCATGTAGGAATTCTAAGAGAAGAAACATGCTCTCTCTGATCAGAATTTGCAGAAAGAGCTGAATCTTGTATGGTTCTGGACTGTTTGGCGTGTTTGCGTCATGAGTATCTTGTGTCATGTGACATCATGTGTCTAAACTGTCTCCCACAAAGGACCTCCATTTCTGTCTCCCCGTCTGGCTCGCGTATGGCGCCTTGATGTTCCCAGGGTTCTCGCGCTGAGCCAGGGTTACAATGAGGGAGGCCGCCAAGCGCTGCTCATAAACAGCCATGTTGTAGCGGAACTTGGCATTCCTGGATCCCAATGGCTGGAAACCCAACCGAAACTCAAGGGACCAAGCATTCTCCCGCTGAACTCTACCGGCCCTGGAAGCTGGTGACATATCCATCATATCCATGGATCTCGCAGCCAGCGCCGGCTCAAGTGCCCGAACTGAACTCCCACCAGGTTTTTCATCGTCTTCCCAAGCGAGTGAGAGATGCGTCTGTTCTTGCCCAAATCCAAAAGCGATGTCGTCGTCACCATGATTTCCATGCTTCAAGGATTGTTGTTGAGCCACTGGCACGGATCTGAGGGTTTCCGTACTCAAACGCATGCTTGACACAATATAGACTAATAGACTGATGCCAACCCGACTGTCTGTCTGTGCAGTACAGTCTTGCAGTATGTGCAGTACCCGTTTTTCACCCCTCGACGCTACTCACAGGACACTTGTCTGTCAGGTCTGTGGGTTAAGTCGTTGAAACTTGTCACAAACCTCTAAGAAGACCTGCGGTCTGCGAGACCGCAGTCCAGTCGTTCCAACGACGACTTGAGCGACACAGTGGAACGCTCTCATCTGAGTTGAGTGACTCTGGCTGGATGAAGGGGAAGAAGGATGCGTAGCCAAGCCGCTCCTACCGGGACGCTCGTCCGGATTGAAGCCGCGACCGTGGAATGTTTAGGAATCGGTTCAAGGTCCCTTTGGGAGCATTAGAGGGGTCAGTGCCAGGTACTGACTACTGATACTTGTACCAAGGAGAAAACACTCCCCTTGATCTATATTACAGTGGTTTCAGAGTAGATGGGCACAAAGCCTAAGATGTCTTCTATATGGGGGAGGTCCATATAAACCACCTAACTTGGATTGTGCCATCGAACCTCTGTTTCACACCACCGAACCTTGCACCAACGAACAGCAAAAGGCTCGGCTCACAATCGGTCCTGCAGTCTCACCACATCTTCCTGCTTCTCAAAACGAACTCGGAAGACCTTGGCGTTGTACTTGTCCACGACCCTGGCCGGCGCGGAGAGGTGCAGTGTATTGTACGACATGGAGTCATACACTGACTCGTATCCCCCAAAACGCCACTGGCTGGCTGCACGTGCACTATCGTGTACTACGGGAAACGGCGGAGGACGACTGGTTCGCTCTCCTGGGCCAGAAGAACACCAAGGCATCTTCGCGGTCCAAGTCGTTCCGAAAGAAGCCCACCATCTGACGGATGTGCAGGGAACCTGAGGCCCGACATCGCTCCGGTAGGTCGCGGCGGCCCCGAGTGTGTGTGTGCATGCGCACGTTCTCTTTGCCCTGCCACCCCCCCCAAAAACAAAGGAAGAAAGGAGTGGCAAACTGGGCAAACCGGTGGGGTTCTTGGGCTGATGGATCTAAATTCGTCCAAAGACTCCCTATTCATAGGCATCATTTGGGGTTGCAAAGCCCTTCTTTATCTCAAATGGTCTCAATTTCAATGGTAGTATTTTTACAATATCCCCGGACCTTGCGCAGGGTTGCCCCAAAGCCCGTCAGGATATTCGCGATAAACCCTCCATCGCTTGTAATGATATGAACATATATGAAGCATATGGCATGGATTTAGTGGGCTACTCTGCAAGTTTTTGAAGCTGAGCTGACCTCATCTGAAGGCTTTCAGAACACGGCCTCCGTGGGTCCACCTGGATGAACCTGTGTGTCACAAACTCTCTCATGTCGATTCCCTAACTGGGAAGCCCCAAAATGACCCTTCCTGTAACAGTGGATGATGATGGCTAGGTTGCCTTTCTAAAAAGTGGTCACCATTTCTTTTTTTTTTTTAATGAATTCATCGTTAGCACATGGCTACGTTACCATTCATTTTATCAAAATGATCAACTGTTACATCTTTAAAAGTAATGTAGACTCTTGATTAATAACCTCCCCCGATGGAATTGAACAACCTTCAAGAGTCTACAGGTAAACCTGGGACACATCCAACCAATCTGAGCTGCACGCCCAACCAAGGGTCCTTCAACTCGCTCAAACGCATTTTTTTTGTCAGCCAAAGGTGACTTTCAGGCAACATGTGTGAGATGTTGAAGCCTCAAAAAGACCATCTGATTTGTGAAATGTCATCCCAGCGAACAACGGATTTTTGACCACCTGCACTCCGTACTTCTCAAAGCCGACAACGGTGCCCAACCCTCCCTCCCTGAGTAACAGCAATCCAATTGGCCTAGGCAAGGTTTCGCCACAAACAACACAAACCCAAACGAACATCCTTTCAAGCAACTCACTTCATGGCTGAACACACACCTACCACTGGGCGAGTTTGGAGATGAG